TTGATAAGAACCTTTTGAGTGCCTTACACAATGGTTTCCTTGTGCGTTAATTGTCAAAGTGGTGAGAGGCATCCAGTATCTTGAAGACTTTTCTGTCAGCCAAGAATTCTTATATTTGTGGAGTTCATCTCGAATAGTTTTAACGAATGCTTAGTACAAACAAAAAAACCAACAACCCACAAACATCATTTTCTACACCAGTTCAAGATGAAGTTTGACTGACATGCACAGCTAACATGGAAGTACTGTATTCTAACTGAAGTCGTTGTACAGACAACACACCAGTTTCTGCAGTCGCCGTTGTCAGTTCTCTGATTCATATTGACTTAAGCACACTTGACATCAATTGCATCAAGATGTGACATGTTTTATAAGGAAAAAAAACATTTAAAATGAAAAAAAAATATTTTTAGGTATTTTCACAAACAAACTGGCTTTTAAATAAATTTGCTTCCATAATGGTTGATGAATCAAAATTTAAACTGTGGGGAAATTGAGATTTAACAAGAAGAAGAAGAAGATTTAGACAATAGTTCCATGTTTTTCAAAGCCAAATATGTAAATGCTGGGGAGGAAAATGCAGAAATAAAAGATCAAAATCTTGTAATTTAATATTGTTCTTTAAAAATTTACTTAATATCCTATTCTTTAACATTTGGTGTTAATATCAAATTACTTGGCAATGCTTGACATTTGAAATAAACTTTTTTCTATGGTTTTATTTGCAAGTGGTCCAGTTAATTTTGCTAGCCACCGTTTGGTTATAAAGGATTTAAAATGTAAAAGGACACTGTCAAGGTTTTTTGGAAGACCTGCAGCTGCTCTTAGACTCCTTCATAATGTTGTTTCATATGAAACACAATCTCTGCATAAACTGTAGGTCTTTAGTTCAGTTTTTTGGTTTCTACTAAAACCACTTCACAAGTTCTGATGCTTATTGCCAAATGCTTATTGCATTATCATCTTTGCAAGTTGGTCCACATCCCATTTATGTTTATATGCAGTGGCTGCCTCCAGCCCATCCTATTTTAAGATGATACTTTAGCCTTCAAATTTCGGAAAGTTAAAGCTGGACAGAATTAGCTTTGTCTACTGGATATCAAGCAGGCTGGTGTGTGTCAATCTTGTCTTTTGATTAAGATGTTACAATTTGAGATAGGCTTTATGGAATTCAGGGATATTCTGCACTAAAGCTGAAAATACGAAATTTAGATGATTATAATAATATACCAGAATTGGTTCCTTAACCATGGGAATAACTGAAATTGAGATTTTTAGTCATACCTGATTCTAAGGAGAGGGCTATTTAAAGCCTCCAGAAGTAAAGAACAAATCCTAGTTTAATTCTGGAGGGGGGAAAACCTTGACAATGTTCCTTTCTGTTAATTTTCATAATAGCCCTAAGTTTTGAGATACAATTACTGTATTTATAACAATAAATGGATTTAAAAGAGTAATATTTACAGTGAGTGCTTTTCTAGTATTGTTTTAAGTGAATCAGCCCATCATTTCATTGAAACACTTTCAGGTACCCAGACCTACTGATAAAAGTAATATTATTCTGCAGGAGTGCTGCTGCTACATTTCTGCCGATACAAAAAGGATTTCTATTTAGTTGATCCTCCGCTATAGACTAAATGGTGCAGGTGTGACTGAAAAACCTTCTGTCCACTGGGTTTTCCTTAAACTTGGATGCTCATTTATTTTAACATCCATGAAGAGAAACGCCACACTGTAAATCTGTTGCCAATTTTAAATCCCTGCTCTTTGGCACAGGTGTATGTAGGTTTCATTCACCACCCTCATGCACACAGAACTGATAGTTGTGACAACTTTTTATGCTGATTTCCTGTGGTATCGTACCTTCTAATGGTAAAAACTTCCCATTTCTCAGGAGCCAATTTATGGTGATCTACAGTTGCCCTGTCCACATCTAATCAGGAAAGTGCGGTGCAGTAGACTGCATTGGGTATTGTTCTGTGCTTCAGTGGCCATTTATAGTCATTTTTATATGATACTCCCAGCCAATTTCCTTTTGACAAAAGAGATCATTTCACTCCTGCATACAATGGAAAATTTATTTTATTGTACCTCTGGGCCTACTTCTCTTAAAAGTGTAGTGTACAAATCTTTCTTTGTCAAGCCTGAACTACTGTATATAAAGGAAATAATGTAAAGTTATATTTTCATGTTTTTATACTTACCAACATGATGAGAATACATAATGTATGGGTATTTCAATATTTCAATTGCCAATAATGTTGACTGGGTTATAGACATCTCAAAAAATTTTTTGGAAAAAAGGTAATCATAATTTAATATCCATGTTACAGTACACCAGTATATTGCTATATAAAGTATTCTGTGTGCATTTAAGTGGAAACAATAGTGAAGAATGATGACAGCTGTCTAGGGGTTTTTAAAATTCATTTTATAGGAAACTGTTATGGAACAACCAAAATGTTTTGAACTAATTCTTGTGTAAATTTCAAAATGTCCTTTACTGTACCCTTTTGTTTACACAGTATATGGTATCTTTATTTCTGCTTTGTTAAGTGGGTATCAGTACAAAGCTGGTCATTCACTTTTAAAGGCTTGTAAAGCCAGAATCATTTCCAGTTTTTCATGTGTACTTATATGAAAGAAAGAAAGAAAAACCCGCTTCTGATTTATTTTTAAATCTAACACATGATGGCTTTTCTGAAGTGTTGTACAAACTTCAATCATACATAAAATTTTGTTCTTTTTTAAAAAGGCAAATTATTATTAAGTGGTTTGTTTAGTATTATTTATATATGGTACTTACTCAGAGAAACATGCTTTGAGATGTTTTTTATTAAAAAAAAAAAAAAGAGGAAAAACTCTTCCTAAAGCAGAGGAATATTCTCATTTGAATTTTGCCTGGGAGATTCCTACCAAGGAACTATATGCCCTCCCATGGGACATATTCTAACGTCTACTGTATGCAAACTGTGTATATATATATATATATATATATATATATATATATATTTCACAATATAAGATTCTCGTTGCTAGTTGTACCACAAATGGGGGGCGGGGGCAGTAACAGGACTTCTTAAACACTTTAGATAACATTTTCCAGGGCAATATACAAAACTAAAATCAGAAGAACAAGACATAATTCAATACACATCAATAGATTGTTCTTTGTGGATATGGCGAATGTGGATTCATGCAGCTGTCAAGGCTTTGGGAAAGCTATTCCTCCCCCGATTGCAGCAAGAGCAGAGAAAACAAGGTAGAGTTCTTTTTTAATGAGTTTTTCCCAATCCTAATAGTGAGAGACGAAAGAACGCAACAAGCCTTAAAATGCTCCAATCTGGGCTCCTCCTCCCACATTTCTAGCAACAGCATCTCCCTTAACAGTGGCTGTTTGTAGCCAAAAGTCTCTGGTTCCGTTGTTCCTGCACCCTTAATGAACGCCGAGTTCTGGGAGAAGGGGGATCAGAAATACTCTCCAGTGATGTGTCAGCTGGCTGTCCTGTCACAATTCCCACCTCCCTCACCCGCTTCTTCTAACACATCCCAACTCCTTTGTTCACCTATCTCTGCGCTGTGACCTTTCTCAAACTTCTCAAAGCCCTGCTGTAAATCAAGGCTGTCTCCCTCTTCTCCTGCAGCGTCAGGAGAAGGGTGTGTGTGACCCCCACCAGTTCTCCTCCTCCATCTCGTCCTCTTGAGTCTGATCTTTGACAGAAGCAAAGCAGCAGAAGTATGATAAATTTTAATTGTCTAGTTCTAGTGTAAGCTTATTTAGGGTTGCCATACGTCCAGGAATTCCTGGACATGTCCTCTTTTTGGGGTCCTACATGCCCATCTGGGGGGAATTTTACACTTTAAAGCAAATGTCCTGGATCTGGGGTTTAAAAAATAATAAGAAATAAAAAAATGTGTGTGGGCGGATCTGGTTCAGACTCTGACTCTGGCACAGGCAACCTGGGCTTTGGTTCAGGCTCTGGCACGGGCAACGCTGTCGCTACCTCTGCTTTGGGCTCTGGCGTGGGTGGCTCAGGCTTTGGAATTCATTCAGCCCCTCTAAAATTGTTCCGTTTGTGAAATAGGAATCCATATTTAGGCTCACATCTTAGTAGTTAGATAGCCGCATAAGATCCAAATGGCAAAAGATCATCTTTTGCCGTGCACTTATATGATATAAGTGCTGCTCCAGAGAAGCAGACACGGAGCAATGGATCCAAACTACAAGAAAGAAGATTCCACCTAAACATTAGGAAGAACTTCTTGACAGTAAGAGCTGTTCGACAGTGGAATTTGCTGCCAAGGAGTGTGGTGGAGTCTCCTTCTTTGGAGGTCTTTAAGCAGAGGCTTGACAACCATATGTCAGGAGTGCTCTGATGGTGTTTCCTGCTTGGCAGGGGGTTGGACTCGATGGCCCTTGTGGTCTCTTCCAACTCTATGATTCTATGATATTTTCATAACAACTTTGGTAATAGTAAAGGCTTGTCCACATGAGAAAATTATTTAGCTGTTAATCTACTTTCCACCATCTGAATTAGACTGGAATAGTCCACACCTGCACATATCTGAATTTGTATTTGAGGAGCAACACCAGTCTCTCTCATTCATACCAGCAGACATTTCCATTTGTCTCTGCCTTCTAATTTTTTGGTTCTTTTATGCCAAATATGTAACCTCCAAAGGCACACTCCTCCAGTGCCTCCCAAGACACATGGATACCAACCAAGGGCACAGATGCTCACCTTGTTGTTGATTTTTACAAATTCCTCAGCCACAAACGGCTCAAAAGCACACTGTCAGGCCATTGTAAATTATCAGCACACACTTTCATAGTTTTATGGGTTTGTGCAAATGTGAGAATCAAAATGTGTTTTTGTGTGTATGCAGGGCTGGATTTAGGTTTGATGAGGCCCTAAGCTACTGAAGGTAACGGGGTCCTTTATATGTCCAGCTGTCCTTTGTCAACAACAAATTGTTTTTTTGTGTTGAATATATGCTAT